TCAAGACTCTAAACAGACAATTCCTCTCTTTTATCATAGTGAAACATACTAAAAGCATCATCATATTGAGCAAAACTCTATGGAACTACACTTATTAAGCATATTATTTGTTCCTAAAAATAGAGTCTTAGTTTGCCATCTGTTGTAATGCTGATCATTCTTCTAACTTTTGGAACTAATCAGTTATTTCCTTTTTATTTACTAAAAAAACCTTGATATGCTTGCTTTTTGGCTCTAAAAAGACCAAAATGACCTTAAAGACAAGTTTAGAGACATACTGTTCAGAATACTGTAATGTTTCAAATAATAAATGAAAAGACATAGAACATATACCAGAGTTGAATAGTTTAAAGTCCTACTGGCTTCGCTATGCTTAACTCTTTATAATCACAGTTGGTTTTTGAAACATTTAACTTTGTTTCTGCAGTGTTTACAATAACTTATAAAAGCACCAAGAATACCAGGGAATATGAATAGATTTTCTGTAAGTCTTTGGAAACAACTTCTTACATTGGTGGAAATTGAGCTTTTCTTTTTGTTTTGTTTGGGTGTGTGTGTGTGTTTTGTTTGTTTGTTTGTTTTGCCCAGGGTGACATTTTAAAGCTTCAAGCTGGAGGAATTTTGAACTAAAAACCAGCTGGGGCAAGGGGAAAATTTAAGACTCTTCTGTCCATGAACCTTAAAAGATATTAACTGCTCCATACATCGTTGATATATTTTATAGTTTCATTTCTCTCGCTGCTTTTAATAGTCCTAAGTAAAAGCATCCACAAAGATAAAAAGATGCTGTAAGTTCTTCTAATAAATCTCTCTTTCTTTCTCTCTCAACGTCTACGGTCTCTTCGGCCCACTGTACCTAAGCAAGTCATGTTGACTCTTCTTGTCAGATCACTGGCACTCCATCACAGCAGTGTCATGCCTTTCTGGCTCCAGGACCACCACTAACACAGGAAAGCCAAATTCATCACAAGGGTGTGCAGTGTTCAAAATTGTCACACCTGAACTGACTGATGACTTCTTGAGCGTAAGTGATATGAATTTACAGCTTGTATCACATTCTTTAAACCTATATGCAAGGTAGGGGGAAATGCAACTTTCTTCAGAGAACTTTTTCAGCTGCAAACACTATTTCTTATGAATGAGAGGACTGAAATTCTTCTAACATTCTGACCTCAAGCTATTATTGGAAGGGGGTCTTGGGGACTGGATTGCATCCAAGCTGGGCAGAAGCTACCATAAAAGTACAATTCTTAGCCTTTAAGACCACAACTCTTCAAAGCATCATAAAAAAACAAAACAAATTGAAACTATGAGACCGTACTTTTGGAAATCTATTTCATCCTATCAAATAAAGAGAATAGCACATTGCAGAATTAATAACCATGAAAACATAACGAACAAGCTGAAGACAAAACAGTTCAAACAGTCACTGACTTGTTGGCTCTTCAGAAAAAAACAGAGCCCTAAAGACGCAGGGCAATTCACACCACGGCAACACCAAAAAGCATCCACAGTAAGAAACATGAGGAAAACCCAGTGTGTGTTAGCTTCTCTGTCAGGATCAGGGTTCAAAGCATGAAACATAACTATCTTTGCAAATACTTTGCCTAAACTCTACATTACCTGGGGATCTGACAGCAGTCAACGAATAGACTCTGCTATGTGGAGGGTGCAGTTGTAATGCATTTTGCAGTGGCCTTGGGCTTAAGAATGATTTGAGGCTGTACAAAATGATTTGTCCACAGGTATATTTTTGGTAACAAAATTGACAGCATAAATAAAAATGTAAAAAAATTGAGAATGTATTCCCGGAATTTATCTCCTATGAAACTGCATCACACAAAGGCCGTGTTTAGATTCCAAACCATGGTTTAGTATTAGAAGAAAAAAAATGTCAGGGAGCTTTGAGTGTGTGTGCTTCCTTCCCTACTCCTCCTCTGGCACTGCTGCAAGGAGATCAGAATTTCCACTTCTATTTTAGATTAACCAGCTAAGCGTATGATTTGTACCATAAATAGTGATTAGTTCTACATATGATTAGATGAAATAAGCCAGCAAAATGAAGTGGTTTCAAGCTGGCTTATTGCAATAAACCTTCATGAAGATTAATCAGTTAGGGTTCATTAAACACAACAAGCCACAGTTCATCTAAAATGGAAGAGAAAGCTTCCAAACTCCTTGTTACAACAGCATACTGTTATTATGGTTAATTCTATCTCATATGTTTGCATTTATTTATATGTTGCTTACTGGTTTGAAACATTTGGATGCTTTTAAAGAAAAATTAATAAAAGTACCTGTTTCAGTTAATTTTGAGTACCAGGAAAGTTTTAGCTATATGACTAACCTATATTTGTCATTATTTGTCTTTGCAACCGTAACTAAGTTTTTAAAAGTAAATTTCTAAAAACAAAATTGAAAACTTTGCCCATCTAGATTTTTTTCATCAGTTGATTACATAAGCCCCCTTCTCACTGAAGATACCCCACTCATGATTTTTATCATTCTTCACATTTTATGAGCTTGGTCTATATGAAAAAAAAATCAGGATGTGTCCAAACAAACTTTAAGCATTGTTGCCTTCAGTTTCAAAGGGAAAGAATAAATATGAAGATTAGCAAGGCTAAACTGTTGTCTTGAAAAAAATGGTAGGCACCCATTTTTCACAAATGATAGTTACATGCAGGAGTTTGAAGAAAGCATACACAAACTCAGGCTACATTCAAACATGTAATTAATACTCAGAAAAACTATGGGTGAGGGACTCTGAAGTAAACAATATATAAACGCTTCAGTAGATGCTTCAGAAGAGAGAAAACTACTGTACGCTCTTTTGGGGGAAACAGGTGCTTTCCTACAGTTTAGTTTATTAATTCCTCTTAATGTTATTTCAATGGCATTCCTTCCATCTAAGGTAGATGATGAGAAGCAGGAAGTGTGTGTTTATGTGTGTTAGAATCAGTAAGATAGGGATCAAATAATGAATAAATAAACACAGGGAATAAATGGAGTACAGAGATGCATATGGAAGGAAGAATCTTAGTACTAAGAAATGGTGGGAAAATTATGAGGATCATTCTGGTTCTCAAAACTTCTGGTAATATACAGGAATAATTTTTTCACATACAGACCAGAATCCTGTTGGGAAAATCATATGCATAGCAATAATAGGGCAAGTAGTTTCCTTGTTTGGTTGGCTGGGCCATCATGCAATTCATTTTTCAACCAGTGTACAATCAGCTATGTGACTGCACACTACCATGGGGCGGGGGGGGGATTGCTTGCATGATTATCACTGTTTACATGATTTTTCCTAACAGGATTCTGGCCTTAGGATAAATAAGCATAAAGAAAACCAGGTTTCTACTACCCTTGAAATTACCTCTCAACTGTAGTGTGCTGTAGTGTACATGGACTTGCCGTTGAAAGGTGTTTGGAAGCTACAGATAATACAAAATGTGGTGTCTAGACTAATGTCCACCACGCACTTTAGAGACAGTAGATTCTAAGCAAACTGTACTGGCTTCCATTTTGCTTTCACACACTGGTTTTTACCTAGAAAGCCCTAAGTAAGCAGCTTGCAGACAGCATATATGAAAGAGTGCCTCCTGATGAATGAGACTGCTCAGAAGTTGATTATCTTCCACAGAGGCCCTGTTGCATGTTTTTCAACCTCAGTAAGTTAGACTGATAAGTATTGAAATTTGTCTCTCCATTATTAGGTTCCTGCTCTAAAGTCATGTATGGAGATACAGGAATCATATTTGCCAATCTCAAAAAAAAAAAATTATATAGATCTAAACTTCATAGTAAAAGTACTGGAAAAAACCTCAGGGGTAGAGAAGCTTGTAAGTAAAAATGTGGTCCCAGAGGTGTTTAAAGTAACTATGTTGATAATCATAGCTTACTACTAAGCTATTACTACTAATGCAGCTTTGTAAGTTTTTTTAGTGGTAATTAGCCTTAACTTTGATTGGGCTTCAATTATTACATTCACTACTTTCACATTACTTATTTAGACAATGCCCCAAATTCTCCCATCTAATTAACAGTGCCTTAACACAAATGACATACTTTTTGGAGGAAAACTGCCCTAAATGAGGAAATCATTTATTTGTTGATATTATTTGTTGCACACTGAGGTGTGTGACTCAGCATACAACAGGTAATGTCTATGGTGATTTCTTAACTTGGGGCAATCTGCCTCCAAATGTTACACTACTGTATTTGCATAGCTATACAAGCGGATTTTGGCCAATATGTACATACGAACATGAACTGAGATTCTCAAGCCAGTTAACAATAAAACTGGGGGTGGGGGTGAAAGAAGATTTTTAATAAAACCCACAAAGTATATTACAATAAAACTACCACCACCAAGATATTCAATAAAACCCACAAAGTATATTACAATAAAACTACCACCACCAAGATATTCATACAGTAGAGCTTAAAGCACTGTAGAATCTTAAACTGAAAAAGCCTTGGAAAAGAAAAAAGGATGGAGAAATTTGGAAGATTATCAGGTGAGCCTCTCTAGGTAAGGAGGTGAAGGAGTGTACTGGAAGGGTAATCTGTACAAAGTAAGCATAAAAAATAGAACATGTGCTTAGTACCCAATAAGTGCTGATAGTACTCCAGATTCTATGCCAGTAAGTAATGTTACAGGGAAAAATGTGCTCAGATAGCAATCATACTCACTGGAAGTTCAGTGGGCATTATTCCTAGTTACGATGGCACAGGGTTGGAGATTAACTATACCACATAAATGTATAGTATAAATGTATACCCTTAGGAGATTAACTATACCACATAAATGTATAGTAACATAATCTAAACCTAATCCAGAAAAATTGCGACTGGAATGGAGACACTTTCTTTCACACCCCTCAAAAACAGTAACGTTCAAATGTCTGACCTTACAGCTCTCATTTGCCAGACCTTCAGTGTGTTTAGAGCTAGAATGTTAATTAAATAAGCCACTTGTATACATATCTTACCTGGGAGGAAATGAAATGTCCAGTTCATATAATCTGTCTTTAAAGACTGACAGCTCTTTGTCAAATTCCAAAAGCTAACAGGGGGGGAAAACACACACACAACATTAAAATGAGTACATCTTGTGCTTTAAGCAAAAAACAGTAGCAGCAAAAAACATTTTAAGTTACAACAGTCATGCTGCAGCAGGTTCCAAAATTCTGTGATGCAAATTTATGGTTTAGTTATTGGACACAGTTTGGGCCATTTTAATGGAAAGACGGTTTGTGAATTATAAATAAAAAAGGCACAAATAAAAAGACGTATGCATCTGGATGGGAAACAATGTGAATGTATTCATAAAAGAAATAGTGATGAATATTTTTAAAAGATGCACATATTTGAAAATATGCAGCTTCGTGTTATATCATTGCTAACTCATCTTAAAACATTTTAAATATGAGATTAGATTCATAAAAACACAGTACAGGTAGTTAACATAATTTGAGATGTCATATAAACAACTGGAAATATGTGTTTTTTATACACACACACAAACATATACAAATTAAGATGACAATCTAGCTGTAAAATATATTTTGAAATACCAGCTGATGATTTCTTTAGCTTGGCAGAAAACTTAAAAAACATGGCAACAAAACCTCACATTTCCATCTAACAAAAACAGATCTCTTTGCCCACAAAAAGCAGACCACATTCAAGTATTTTAAGGCAGTCTATGACAGAGAACAAAGAATTCATGATTTCTACAAACACACATACTCTCTTGCTCTAAATCATTAATTCGCTAAGGCAGCACCCAAGCACCAGAGACAAATGGTCTACAGGGAAACATATTTTCAGAGGGGTGAATAGATTATTCATTGAATTCAGGACTTCTTAATAACATATCCACACACACACACACTCACCAGAAAATATGCTTCCCTCAGACCACCAGAAAGAAAATCAGTATTTAGCTTAACCTTGTGCTCATAGCTTTCTCATAAGTAGTCATGCAAGCAGTTCTACATTTTAAAACCAGGAACTATCCCAACAGATGTAAAATGCTGTATTTCAGTACCATCGCTGGTGCTTGGCATGCTGTGCCAAAGAACCTGTAGTGTAACTGGCCCATTGCTGTGAAAACCGCTTTTGGTTTTGACAAGCATGCCATCAAAACTATTGCTCCTTATAATTCCTATATGTTTACTTCCCTCTTCATTAATCATGTTCCAACTCACAGCTGTGCTGATACCATTGTATGAATGGCAGAGGTTCCGAATGAAATTAGATTGTGTTCTTCTTTTCCCACTGCTCTGTCATAAATCATTCCTGAAATGTGCAATTAGCAGCTACTTGTACACATTAATTATCTGTGAGAAAAACAGCTACCTGAACCACCTGCACAACTGATTAGCTACCTCCCTGTGGCCCACCCATTTCTGCCTGCAGTTTCTGAAAGCCGTGCTATCCCCCACCCACTGCAGAGGACCATTCCCTTTTGCATTTTTTTTCTTGCGAGGTTGAACAGAACGGTGATTTTCCAAAAGGGAATATTCTAAAACCATTTATGTACATTCTTGACCCAAATTTACTGTGCAAATCATGTGCATTTTAAAGCACCCTATTCTTGGTTGACTCCTGGCCAGAGTCCTGGCCGTAAAGGTGCTTAGACTTGCCCCAGCAGGGAGTCACTTAAAAGCATTCTGGGAATTGCAGTCCGATTGTCATAAACCTTGGGATTCAGAATTAGGGCTGGATCTCATATTAGACTTGCAAGTCACTCTGTTGATATCATTCCTCTCTCTTTCTAAAAGAAGCTTCCATGAAACAAACAGTAGAAAATAGCATTAAAAGTGAAAGGTAAGCACACATCCAGTATCAATTTAAAAACACAGTTTCACAAGAAGCAAATCGCATAATCAGGCACGTAGAAGTGGAATTCCATCTCATCTTTCTTTTGCCCTTAGTCTTAATCAGGATTCCCTCTTGCCTAAGTACTAAAATCAGGATTTACTGCCATTGCCATTGCAGGAACCTCAACAGTGTTAAATATGGTAAATATTATTGCTGGTGTTACATGGAAGTGCAGTAGTCTGGCAGTGTATTTGGCAAGAAGAGCCTGGGGGACAGGAAACATGCAGTCCTGGTGGAGCAGTTAGCAGAATGAATTGTGGCCATCCATGACACATTGGATCTGCTTCCCATCCTCTGATATCACTTTCTATCCATCACAGCTATTCTTTGTATACATATCTGCTGGAATTCCTGTACCTTTAGCCATGGTGTGTTTTGACCACTAGCATCAACATATGCAAGAACAAGGAGACTAGAGACTAAAGGCTAACATGTATAAAACTGCCAGCATGTGTTTAGGGAAATGCTAAAGTAAGTCTTAGTTAGGGCAGGTCCATCTGAGTAATGGAAACTATGGAGAAGTTGGCTCACTAAATCCACATTGATTCAGTGGGTATACTCTACTGTGATTTGCTACACTAAGCAACAGGATTTTGACCAAGAATAAATACAGTACATCACATATTGCTTAACTAACACAAAGCACTGGCAACTGTTTGCTAGTTCCAATGTTATCTTTTATTCACACGTATTTAGAGCAGTCCTACACATGTCTACCCTGAATTCAATCCCAATGAGTTTACCGGAGTTTACAGTCACATGTGGATATGGGACTGCATCCTAACTGCATTGAATATAGTTTTAAAGATTCCTTCAATATAGTTGTAATGGAAGGTGTTATAATTTAGTGCAGTGGTCCCCAACCTTGGGCCTCCAGATGTTCTCAGACTTCAACTCCCAGAAATCCTGGCCAGCAGAGGTGGTGGTGAAGGCTTCTGGGAGTTGTAGTCGAAGAACATCTGGAGGCCCAAGGTTGGGGACCACTGATTTAGTGTACTTTTCAAAAAGTCAATTTTTGAATTATTTCTTATTTTTTAAAAATCTAAAGAATCAGACAAAATGATATTTGGATAAAAGAGGGTTACTTGTAAAATATAAAAATGTGAAAGGCAGAATAAACAAACAATGCTTCATAGAACACAATGGTAAAAAAAATGCTCGTTGACAGTTTCAAAGGCCAAGGGAAGTTAAATAGATGCATTGTCTTCTTGGCTGAATTCAAAGTATCTACAGTGTGTGCATCCAGTTTCTGGGTGTGTGCGTTTTTCATGAAAATATTCAAAAGTCGACAGCAGGGCCAACACTTGTAAGGTTAAAAACTGCTAAGACCACTTAGGTTGCAGCTATTTCTTAGCAACAGCCACAGATATTTCGATGTTCTGTGGGTGGTTGTTTCTTTAGCTATGTGTTGTGTATTGCAGACAAACCATTGACATTGTGGCAACACAGATGACAGATAACAGGAACACAATTGTGTTGGCAGCTGTTGCCAGCACAAGTTTTCAAGAATCAGGAACATCTTTACAGTTGCTGGCAGAAAAAAACACCCCTTACGAAAGCTATCAGCTAGTGGAGGGATACTACATATATATATGTGTGTGTGTGTTAAGTGCCATCAAGTCAGAACTGACGTACAGTGATCCTAATAGAGCTCTCAAGGTAAGCAGGGTATTTAAGGAATGGTTTTTCCAGTTTCACCCACCCCCAGTAAGTTTTTATGGCCAAGCAGGGAATTGAACCCAGGTCTCCTCAGTCATAGTCCATCACTCTATCCAGTAGCCATATATATTATACTCTATTAATACTGGTTTTGTATGACCTGTGGAAGTGACTGCAACAGATGATCTGAGATGGTTTCTTAAAATAAACTTATCCTCTGGATTTAAAACCTCTTTTCTGAGGCAGCTGTTGTTAAGACTTGTGTGACCTGGATTTTGAGCTGAGGAGCAATGGTCTATGGGTTGCCTACAGATGAGATTGCTATGCAGAAAATTCTTCTTTTATAGAGGATATTGAAAGAGCTAATTCAAAAAGATGGGAGAAGCCCATAGTTTAACTAGCAAATAAAACATTAAACAACCTTTGGATTTGGCGAGCATGCACACAGGCAGCTTTAAGGAGATTAAAGGTGACAGTGAGGATCTGCTAACAGAAATATGCAAAGTGTCACTTGTCACTAAAATTTGCTTCTTTACTGCATGACTGCCAAATAATCACCTCAGAACACATTTTTTTTAAAAAAAATTAAAACCACAGTGAAGCAACGGGCTAGAGTGGAACGCTCCCCTGCTCTCCCCCTGCTCCTTTACACCAGGGTTTGGGCTGAAACACATGGTACTCTGGCCATCTCATGAGAAGAGAAGACTCCTCGGAAAAGACCTTGATGTTAGGAAAGTGTGATGGCAAGAGGAGAAGGGGACGACAGAGGATGAGATGGTTGGACAGTGTCATTGAAGCTACCAACATGAATTTGACCCAACTCTGAGAAGCAGTGGAAGACAGGAAGGCCTGGCGTGCTCTGATCCATGGGGTCACGAAGAGTCGGACATGACTAAACGACTAAACGAAGACGACGAGTGGGAAGAAGATTGGACCTTAATGACTTTCAAGGGATTATGGAAGAAACCATCTTGTGCACTCCAGAACTCAGTGAAACAAAAATGAAAGTGATAGTGATTTTGGAACATAGCTTCTACAATGAAAGACTAAAAAAGCAGTGACTAAAACAACTGAGGCATTTTTGTTGACTTTGTTTCTTGCAAGGCTAACCGTCCCTCCCCACCATACTTCAACAAGAAATGTGTTTCATTCATTTGAGCACTTTTGTTGTCTCTTTCTTTATCATCCATTTACGGAGGTTTGTAAAATGTCACACTGTGTGGAGGAAATTTTGCAGTCTCTCTGAATACTAGAATTGGTCATCTCAAAAAAAAAATGAGATATATTTAGGACACGGAAAAAAGATTATGTGCTTCTGGATGCAATGCCCCAATGGACAGTACTCACGGTCACAAAGTTGACCACTGACAGAGGTGGTTTAAAGATGGGTTCAGATCAGAGATGGAGGAGGTTTTGCCCTCCAGATGTTTTAGATGCTGACTTCCCAAAGCCCCAGCCAGCATGGCCAATCATATGTGATTAGGGGAATTTCAGGCCATAACATCTGGAGAGCCAAAA